CCACAGCGTTGTTGACGCCACTCAACTTTGCTCTAGCCATGTAACTGCAGCCTCACTAACACCAGCTGCAGAGCAAAAATGGCTGATTAACTCAAACACATGGAGAACGAAGCAGCAGCATTCAAGCCTGGCTCAGACCCTCATACTGTACCAGCAGCATCAGAGCAGGAAACGAGCCAATGCATGCCAAGCTAACTTAATGGGTCACCTTTCCAGACCAGCGCACAAGGCTCAGGTGAGCATGTGTGACTCAGATGCAGCTGTATGGACTTCCACTACCCATACCCCTCCAGGCAGGGACTGGTGGCATGATGGCACAGCTGGCACTGGAGGGTGGCAGGTAGCTGGCAAAGGGTGATAGTTTCAGGGGCTAAACAGCTGTGCCCCCGAGTCGAGGAGGCTGGCACCACCCTGCACGCCCAACCAACGTGCTACACAAAGTAGAGAGCAGGGGAGGAGAGATGATAGTAGGGCTGAATGATATATCATTTGTTAATTAGTATCACAATATTGGCCTTTGCAATGCTAATATTGCAAAAGGCTGCAATATGCAAATGAGCCTTTCATAAGTCCGCTGTTCAGGATAAGTTTCTGTGGGTGTTTTGATGAATAAATGAAATCATGTAACTAAACAATGGAAAAAATAATGCAGGCTGATCTTTAACCTTGTTATGATCTGTTTTAATATATTGTAAGGCATGTTGCAATTGCAATATGTAGCAATATAATCAAAATATGGTATTCTTTTCCATTTTGTGCAGTCTGAGATAGTAAGAAAATGTTCACCTTCACCGGTTTTCCTGACCTGTTACTCTGTATTTGCATCTTCTCATCCTCCTCAGTTACAGTCTATTTACTACCCTTCTCTTTCCTCACTCTCTTGCTTGTCCAGTTCGGCTTCTTTGCTTTCAGAGTCTGGTACTGATAATTCCTTTCATATGGATAAAATTTGTGCCATAAATCATAAATGCCCTCCACAAAGAATCGAACCTTTTCAGACAGAATATGAATATGGATATGGATATTTATCATTTCATTTTTGATATCAGGATACATCAATACATATAGTATTTCAAAATTCAGTAGATATTTATATACTCTAGAAAGCCCATAAATAACTCTAGAAGCTTAGTTTTCAAAAGATGTGTGGCTATTAGTCAATCACAACCCTAGAAACATCACAGACATAAATAAACGCCTGCAATCTCCTGATCAGAGTAAGTGGCAAATGTACGGTAGTTGTTTCATCACAGAAGAGGAAAAACAGACTGTCTTGAGTAGGAGAGAAGTAGATAAGAACTGGCCTTGAGTGCTACTTCTTCCAACTGCCATCCCTTAAGCCCCACACTGCACGCCACTCAGCCTCCCTGCGGCCTCTTCTCATGGAGATTAACCAGCTCTCAGAGCAGAGCAGAGCAGAGAGAGAGAGAGAGAGAGAGAGAGAGAGAGAGAGAGAGAGAGAGAGAGAGAGAGAATGGACAGAGAATAGACAGAGAATGAGAGGCAGAAAGAGAATGATTAAACAGAAAGAGGGAAAAAGTAAAAGAAGATGGAAACAGCAAAATCAAGACAGAATGAGAGTGAGAGGCAGGGAGAGCATGAGACAGAGAAAGAAAACGAGCAATGTGAAGCAAGAAGACGAGAAGAGCAATGTGCACAAAAAAGAGCAATGTTATGAGAACAAGAAAGAAAGAAAGAAAGAAAGAAAGAAAGAAAGAAAGAAAAAAGAAAGATGAGAGAGAGCTAAAAGGAAGAAAGAAAGAAAAGAAGGAAAAAAGAAAGGGAGGCTGGAACAACTCTTTTCTTCTCTTTAGAACTTGGTGCATTTTTTCATTCTCAGTAAGAGACAGACACCCCGAGGAAGACAGACAGACACCCTGAGGATAGGAGAAAGACAAAAAGACAGAGGAAAATGTGGAGAGACAGACACACAGAGACATATAAAGAAAGATGGAGAGAGCCAGACATACAAAGGAAGACAGAGAGAGGCAGAAACACAGAAAAAGACAGAATGAGAGATAGACACCCAGAGAAGACCGAGACAGACACACAGAGGAAGACAAACAGAGAGACAGACACACAGAGGAAGACAGACAGAGACAGATACACAGAGCAAGACAGACATAAAGGCAGATAGAGAGAGTCAGACACACAGAGGAAGACAGAGAGACAGACACAGATGAAGACAGAGAGACATAGATGAAGACCAAGAGAGCCAGACACACAGAGGAAGACCGAGAGAGCCAGACACACAGAGGAAGGCAGAGAGAGAGACACACAGAGGAAGACAGATGGAGAGACAGACAGATCCACAGTGTGTGTATGAATTAGAGTGCATGTCGCTCTAAGGGCTGACTCTGCAACACTGCGTTTGGCACATCAAAGGACCCTGGCTGTTCCAAGGTCACCCCCTGATTCACTGCTACCAGGTTATGAAATAGCTTGTTTCAGTGAGCTGGCGCTAAAGGGGGATGTGTGTGTGTGTGTGTGTGAGCTCCAGGGCTGTGGTCCATCTCTGTCATCACACTGTACTCTACTCCATCTCCCTGCGTCACCCAGCCAGGATGGCAGAAGCAGCAACTGTGATGCACTTTAATACACCTAACCCCAGGTGAAACACCTCCTGACCACAATACAAGGACATGCCCTACCACACACACACACACACACACACACACACACACACTATTCACTCACGCAGAGGTCTTACGCTGAGACATCCTGGGGCTTTCTGAGGTGAAAAAGAAGAAAGCTAAAGTCTTTTCCTCGTCAAGAGGAAAAGTCAGGATTCCCTTTATCTATTTATTCAATAAACACAGGTCAGTACTAGCAATAAGTTATGTACCGGTCCTTTTGTACCAGCTGAAATTCTTTTTAAGGCATAGTTGTGTTAAAACCTTGCACCTGTATGCCACAAATGAGCACACATAACACAGCATGCAAACCTTTAACATAAGCGAAAGTTAGTCTATTGAGCTGAACTGCTATTAGCATGTGTAGCTGAGTGGAGTTAGAAATATTTCAGTCACATTTCAGTGAAACGTTTCAGTGTTTTTTTCCAGACCAGTCGTTCTTAACATATTTCGCCAGACATTAGCAAGAAATATGTTAAGAACAACTGGTCTGATGGGGTTATAGCCTAGCATGGACACCAGTGTCCTCCCACACCACCTGCGGAATTGCCTTCCTTGGTTAGCTGCATCAGCTGACACCACGACCTCAGAGCCTTGTCCTCATAACAAGGTGCGTCCCAACTACTATTGATAGTACAAAGGATGTAATGTTTACCACATTTCTGTAGTGTCTGAAGGTCGCAGAAATAAGCATGAGTGTACAGGACACACATATGAGACAAATTACTTTTTTTTGGACATGAAACAACAGTTAGCATCATTCTGGCAGGCCCAGAGAAGCTGCTGCATGCTTATGTGTATATATCACAGATTAATGTATACATTTATTCGGTTCTGTATTTTTACTTTTAGGTGTGCTTTTTAGGCCACAAGTGTGTGTACTTGCGTACACAAAAGGCCTACTGTTAGGAATTCAGTTCTGTGTGGTCGGGTGCCTTGAATCAGCAAGGCATCAGCAAATAAGTAAGTTAGTTAATAAATAAATAAATAAATAAATGACAAATGAGTAATTGGAAATTAGTGGTGTCACATTGATCCAGCAGGGCATGGCCAGCGTTAACTAGGCCTGTCTGAAAGAGAAGGCGGAGGCTAAAAGACGATTTAAAGAGTAATTGATTTTGTTTCCAACAAGTCACAGACACAATGAGCTAATAATGCAGGATGATGAAGCTTACTCTCCATTCACTGTTCATTCCTCCCTCTCTCCCTCTCTCTCCCTCTCTCTCCCTCTCTCTCCCTCGCTCCAGAGAATTCTTCAGCTCTAGGGAACAGAGGGGTGCTGACTACACTGGATCAAATCAGGTCAGGGCAGAGTTTGCACATCAGGATGAGTGCAATATTATTTACATGATGTGTTTTACAGTTTTGTTGCAATTAAAACACACTGATTGATTTTCGACTGGCTTCAAATATACAGAACCTTTGTGATAGGGATTAACAAATTCAGAGAAGAATGCAGTGCATCCGAGGACACAAGATGACAAGGAAGAAATCAATGGGTTAATCTGTCTACTGACAATAAGTTAACAAAACTACAGAATGCTGTAAAACCTTGTATCCCCAAACAATAACTTTATAAAAAAAAATAGGGGGGAAAAAAAACATTTTAATGTGTGTGAATGTAACAGGATTTTATTCCAAGTGATTCTGGACCATTTCTGTTGGTCAAGTTACCCTGAAGTTTTCATACAATGACAAGGGAATCTGCCCCTTTAAATGTGTAAAATATATAAATAAATAAAAATAAAAACAAGTTGTTGTCCAGACAGCAAAATAATAACTGCACAGGAGAAGGAAAGAAAAGTCTTCTTAAGTTTGAATGCAAGATAATGCGACAAGATTTTTTTGCAAGCAATTTTGGAGCACTTATTTTGGTCTATTTATATAAAAAATAAAAAAGTAGCAAAAATGGAGATACAAAATTTTGTTTCGACAGCAACATTATGGTAGTAACAATCCTACAGTTCCGAAAGAATTCTGCAGATCTCAGTTCTGACTTAGGGGTAGGAGATATGGCAAAACCAAAAAGTAATTTTTCACTGTACATGCTATTTGGGTTTAAATACTATCAAAAACTGTGAGTACAATGTTCTTTCACATATGGCACTACAGTAAATCTTGTTAAAAATTGCTAATTATGCACTCTTTGTAATGAATCAAGCATTGTTTAGTGTTTTAAATACTGATGATACCCACAGTCTGCTCAGATAAGCATACTGTTACATAATTTATTACAATAACGGTAAAATATAATCATATTGCTCACCCTTACTCTGAATTACATTTTAGAACCTGTTTTTCAAAAATTGTTTATAAACTTCTCATAAATATTTAAGCCGTGGCTAGCGGCAGAATTTGTGGATTTACCTTCATGCACAGTCACACCACAGTTGTCACATTGGATGATCTCGTCAGCGTCCTCACTGTTGTCTCCCAGACAAACGCAGCAGATCAGGATATGCTCCATCCTCTGAGCGCTCCATGGCTGAGCTCGCTCCAGCAGAGAGTCCTGTGGACAGTATCCAGGAAAACCATACTCTTTTACACTGATCTAGGACCAGATTTCTGCTCTCAAATATGAGTCTTAAACATTAGTGTTGAAACAGCAGACTGATCCCAGATTAGGGTAAAAGGACACACTCACCAAAAACCTGCAAAGCCACTGACAATCTCTCACCTCAGGGACTGGTAGATTAGCCCATCTTATACACCGACTCCCAGTTTCCAGATAAGTCGATTATCAAAAAAGACCTAAGTGTCTTTTGAAAAGTTCAATCTGATGGTCTAAAAGCCAGTGACTGCATTATCTGACTGATCTGCTCAGACCTCCCGTGTGCATTCATTTGGACACACTGAAAATGACATCCGTGACCTTTAAATCTGGGATCGGCTTTGTTTCCTACACAAGTGTAACTTTCAAACAATTTATTGCAATGAGCTGCCACTTCAGCTGATAGTAGTAAGTGGACACATGCCAAAACAGCAGTCTGAGCTGGTGTGCAATTAAATCACATGTGAAGTCTGACAGGCCACTGAAAGTTACTATATGACAGGGCTGCAACTACGGCTGGGTATCACACGAATTTTTTCAATATCGATGCCAGTACTGATACAGATTCATACTTCATTCATACAGATACAATACTTCAATACCGATACATGAACAATACAAACTTCTCACCTTCTGTAAAATTACAAAATGAAAGTAAGTGTGGCTTTTATCAGAAATGTGTTAGAAGTGAGTATATTTACTGACCGTAATGGACTGCAAAGTCATCAAAGGAGCACCAGACAGAATCTAAAGAGTGCTAATATTAAACACCACGCTTACAGAATGTAATTTTGGGCATTTTTCCACTGCACATTCAGAATCAAGACCTGACCCACTGGAACTATTTAGTGAATATATAGTGAATTTGGGGTTCTGGTTCTAGCGCATTTTCCACCTGGGAGAAAACAGCAATGATCATAGTGACACCGATAAAAAGGACTGCTACCATTAGCTACATTACTAGCATACACCACATTGGCGAATTCTTTCCAAAGTTATTCATGTGATAGTGCTTGAATGACTTAACTAATGAATTATGAACTAATGAATGAATTAACTTAAAGAATTGGTTAACTTTTCCATGGGCTTCAATTACACGAATCAGCAAAAAAGAACTTCCCGATGATACGAGAGAGCTCAAACAATCTGTTAGAAATTCTTTCATTCTTTTCATTAAGGCCCACGACATGTCTCACATAACAGCTTGAGCTTTCTTTTATTATTCGATGTTATATGTGTTTGCAAGTGACAAACAATTCATGTTCTGTTTGTTGCAATATAAAGATATGATTAAATGACTACGGAAAATAACTGCGACAGCCGTACTCACGCAACAACAATGCCTGCATCTCCTCACTGTTCCTCAGATCTGGTTCTTGCAGCAGTATTCTTTGCAGTATTTTTTCTATTGGCCATTTGCTTAACCAGTAAGCAATGAACAGTGTGGATAGCCCACCCTTTGAGTAAGCACTAGGTCCAGCTGGTACCAATTCTAAGCAAAAAATAAAAATAGAGCCTGTGGTACTGGACTTAGAGCCAATAGAAAAAGCACAGTTCGAGTTTTCTGGTGCCAAAGATTCTGGTACTTTGAGCACGGGAAAAATGCCTTTAGACAGCCGGTCACCAGTCTTGCTTATTGGCTCAATGATCCACTGATGATAAGACTGACAATTTAGGCACTGAATTACACAGAATTCTTCAAAAATCAACTGAAGTATTAAAGAAATTTGGTGGGAATTAACAATTACTGCTATAATTTGCTCCTACTTTTGCCTGTCAAAGCACCACCATTACGCAGTTCCATCTGTGCAACAAGAAATTTCTTCCTTAGAAAAATAAATTAATTGAAGCAATATTGCCCCAAAAACTTCCTACAGTGTAGTGTCTGTTGAACTAATCTCGAACACATAATTGGGCATTTTGCAGCAATTTTTTCAAGCAAACAATGCGTCACCACTTACGTCAACTAGTATAGTAACAAAGTAGCAGCCCTGTCATCCTGAACTCCCGAACCATGATCATTCAGTGGTGATTCAGTCTTGGAGGGCATCTCACCTCATTTCCCTTTCCATGGGATGTGCTGTGGCTGTCGTTGGTCTCCTCCTCATCAAACGCTCCTGTGCTTTTGGATGCTTTTTTCTTCGACTTCTTCACCACCTCCTCACCGTCACTACTGCTGTTCTCATTGTCGTCATCATTTTCATCATCGTCGTCATCGTCATCATCATCATCATCATTGTCATCTTCATCACTCCCCTCATCTTCCTCTCCCTCGCTCCCTCCTCCTTTATCCTTCCCAGCAGTCTTGCTTTTCTTCTTCCCTGCCGAAGGCCTCCAGTCATTGTCATCCTCGCTGTCATAATCGTCCATCTCGTTCAGCTGCTCCATAGTGGTGAAGTCCAGCATAGGCCGGTTCCGCCGAAGGTTCCACTTCTTGGGCTCTGCAGGGCTTTCTTCGGTCGTGCCGCTGCCGTTGGGTTCTGTGTCCGGGGTTTTTTCACTTTTCTTGCGGCTTCTAGACGTTCCTCCCGTTTCTTTACTGCTGGTCTCCTCTGAGGATGGCTGCTCCTTGGCCTTCTCCTCTTCCTGAGTATCTTCATTCAGGTCTTTGGCCTCCTCCTCATCAACACCCTCCTCGTCTGCAGAGACGGCGGCATCCGAGTCGCTGTCTGTGCCTGCAGCGCTGTCTTTAGAACCCTCTTCATCACTGCCATTTCCTGTGCCTTCCGACCCTGACACACATAGTAGAACAGAGAGGTTAGCTCAGCCAAAACGAAAAATTTAACCACTGCTGCATCTGGTGTAAGTATGCCTCCTACAGCAGTGCCACAACAAATTTCCAGTTTAAACTACAGGAAAACCCCCTGATGTCTCTTGAAGGTGAGAACTTTTGAAGAACTACAAGCTTTTTCATGGGTCTGCTTGAAATGTTTGTTTTTTTTTCTCCACTTGCTGGCAAAAGCAGAAGGAAGCCAGATACCTAATGGTGCTGCTAGGAAGCCAAATGTCACGTCTGTATTTATTAGCCTTTACATGGTTGGCTATGCCAGCAATCAGGACTATTTTTAGCACCACGTGGAGATTCCCAATGGTCGTATGACTTATTTGCATAATGCATGCTGGGTATTGTAGTGATAGAACACGGATGGACAAAACACGCAAAGTAAATAAAATTGTGACCTTGGTTAAAACAATGAGGCTTTGGGATACAAGGTTATGCAACATTACATAACATGACAAATAACATTTACTGCTAGTTTTAGGCCAGAATGCCCACTCAAATGTAGCTGGCTAACCAACACATATTTAGTGTCTGAAGATTGTTTATTTAGTTTTGCACTGGAGCTACAAGGCTTATGTAGGTAACAAGTAATGGAGGCTTAGCATTGCGCTAACAGCATGCTATGGACTTGGACATAATTGTGAACGACATGCAGGATACCGTTTTTAGCTGTGCGTTGTACTTTTGTCCATTTCACAGAAAACAGCCCAATACATTTGGGGTAGTGGAAAAATTGTTATTTTTTTTGCCAGGCAGTTATTCCAAGTGACACGAGACCAGGCTCACGGAATGGGGAGAGATCTAAAAACTCAAAACTGAATTACCAATTACACAAGCATATTTGAAATCACTGATAAAATCTGACCAAACCCTCGGAAATAGGGTCTTTTTCCGTGTTGTTCTGGCTACTGCGCTTGCGTAGATCTCCACAACAAGGGAGGGCTGTCCCTGCTTGTGGCGTAACCAGCAAGCTGATTGGCTCTGTTTTGTGAAGGGTGGGACGCTCACAGCATAAACAGCAAGCTGACTGCCTCTTTTTCGTGAAGGGGCGGGGCTTACTCTGTAAACAGACGCCATGTCGAGCATTACAATGTTCCCCCTTTATATTTCAGCCAGTGGTCTGTCTGCTCACTTATAACGTCTGTGATTTTAACCACCCCAAAGTTTGGGCTGATATTCTTCTACATCAGCCATGTACACACACACACACACACACACACACACACACACACATTTTCTAAGCCGCTTATCCATCTGGGTCGCAGGGGGAGCTGGAGCCTATCCCAGCGGTCATTGGGCAAAAGGCAGGAAACACCCTGGACAGGTCGCCAGTCCATCGCAGGGCAGACATATACATTCACACACACACTCACACCTAGAGGCAATATAGCATGTCTTTGGACTGTGGGAGGAAACCAGAGCACCCGGAGGAAACCCACGCAGACACGGGGAGAACATGCAAACTCCAGACAGAAAGGACCCTGGTCGCACGGCCAGGAATCTAACCTAGGCCCTTCTTGCTATGAAACGACAGAGGTACCCACTGCGCCACTGTGCTGCCCACATCAGCCGTGTAGTCACAGATATTTAAAAGTTGTATAAAAGATTTTCTTGTCAAAAGTTGTCAAAAAACTTTGCTGTCCGTTTCCTTTGTGACAAAGATTTTCTCATGGCATTAGATGTTTGTTATTCCAAACCATCAGAGGAAGTGCATATAACACAACTCTCAGAGTCACAGGGATCAGAGCGTGTTAGAATCTCATTATCAGCTGACAGCCTTTCTGCACCTTCGCTGACACAGTCCTGATGAGGTAACTCAGTGTCCACCTCTCATCCATCACTGAGAAATGGAGCAACAGCCAATGGAACTGAACTCGTGCAACAGAAGTGCTGGAGGAAGTCTGGTTTATAGACAAGGGCAGACACTGTCACACACGGTGATGAAGACTTCATTTTCACCTTAGCGTGAGTTTCCATTACTGAAAAAACTACTGCATTAACCTGAGCCCAAAAACATGCTGTAAGAACATTTTTGCATTTTGACCATAAGTTTCGATAGCTAGCTCCAAGCTAACTCTGCACAGCCCCAAGATCCACAGGTTCAAGGCCAGATTAACACAAGAGGTCCTAGTCCTGTGGACCCCATATTACGCATGTTTTTGTGTTTTCCCTTATCTAACACAACTGATTCTCACAACTCATTAACTAATTAAAAAGAGGAACACATCACACCTATAACCGCACTGTTGATTTTAGTGTGTAACCCCTTCTGAAGTGGACAGCTGTACTGCCACTGAAGCCTTTGAAAGAAAATCTCTAAGTCAGTTCTTGTGAACTGATTTTCTCCAAAAGTTTGAGAGCAGTGGAGAAAAAATTAATCGATGTAACACTAATATGTAACACTATGACTGAACTCTTTGCCTCCAGCTGTGCTGAACTCCAGGGTAATGTTGTACGATACTGACTTTAAATGCAAAGCCCTGACAAAGCAATCACGATTATTATATTATTATTAAAATAGTGTGCCTGAACGTGACAAAAGTACACACAAAAATACAGGCCTTTTTTTGGCTGTATTAACAGAAAGAAATCTAACTAACCTCTCATTTAAGCAAACAGCAAAATACAAAACTACAATAGCACCATTCACTATTGTTAAAAAACTGTTGTGTGTGTTTTGTAATTGGCCAAATAGTCAAGTTACTCGTCCCCCATGTGGGAGAGTAGGGTTTCAGAAAAGCACTCATTAGGCTTCCAATGGGTTGTGCTGGAAATAAATAACGTCTCTCTGACGCTGCATGTATGAGGTTTATTTTATCTGTTTAGTCATCACAGCTCAAACAATGTTTCTATAGCAGAAACAATAAAAATATGATTTATCGTGCAGCCCTAGTCAAGAGACAGGCTCATTCATACCAGTTTTACTGTTGTTTACTCAGAACATCTCGTGCTTATTCTCAAATTATTTTTAGTCAAGGGCTACACACATCACTAGAGATGTCATGATACCAGTACCGATACTGATACTGATACTGAAACCTTGTGTGTCGGCAAATACCAATAACAATCTGAATTTTAATCTTGAATTTAATCTTTACTTACATCATAAAAGGAATAGCTCTAAGTAAAGCAGACACTGAGCAATGTAAATGGAGTGTAACTGTATGCAAGGGCTTAATATTAATTAACCCCACTTTAATACATGACAGGATCTTTGTTTGGACTTAAAAGTACAGTCCATATTGGTATAGATTACCTGAGCCTTCAGCATCTCCCACTTCAAAATCACTGTCGTCTGAGCTGTCATAATCCAGAGCATCTAAAAGAGAGGCAGCCAGGGGCTTCACCTGCCTGCGCTTGGAGGTCCGATCCACTGGAGGAGGGAGAAGAATTTATAAACGGAGGAAAACAGTTGATATAAAAGTTGTCGCAAGATCATTGCAAACACACTATAATCACTTTCTCACTTCCACCACTGCAGTTTAAAGTAGCCAGACCTCCAATGTTCAGTGCACAACAGCCTACTGCACTTCATTCTATACCTAATATATAGTTTAAATCTGCTAGCTACATAGCTAAACTGCTAGCCAGGTAACACAGTGGCATGCAGCATCAATCTCAGATAGCTCTTTATTCTTTGCACCACACAGGTCTTCAAACAGTGCCTTCTAAACGCAAAACTGCATACTGGTAACACGTCCAATAGGAAACCATTCGGGATGCCGAGAGCTAATAACCAGCAGCCACTAGAGGCGGGCAATATGACACTATTTTTCATTATCATGATACATAACAATATGCTTCTCTAAGCTACTTCTACTTTCTACAGCATGCATAATTACAAAGAGAGCATATCTAGTCCTGTTTAATTGAATTTAGTGCAACACAGTATAAAATGCTGAACAGAAATCATTGATCATTCATAGTTTCTGTTAGTATTTTTAAAAATGCTTTGTCTGTTCTAACTTATCACGTCAGACAAAATAAACATCGTGACATATCGTGTATAGTTAAAACTTCTTGAAGTATCGTGATTTGACATTTTGCCATATCGCCCACCTCATTTTAAAAGACTTCCCATATTTGGGACGGTTATCCAAGCTGTTTGAGCAAAGGAGACTGGCTAAACAGCAGAAGCTAAACCAATGTGCAGCCTAATATGGAAGCAGGACTGAGTATTGTGCGAAAGTAACTGGACATTGCGAGACGAGAGTGCAGAGTTAGCTTATTCGCTGCATACAAACACATTACAATACAATCCAGCCAATGCTGGCAGGCTAGCCAAAGCTATTTGGCTAGCTAGCGATAGCATCAAGCAAACCTGGAAAAAAACACACGGAGTCACAGCTAGTTACTCGTCTACAGAGCAAATTCGCTGCATATTTCCTTAACGAAGCATATACGAGCCATTTTTATGCATAACTTAAAATACGACGAAGCACATCACCTACTTTATAGGTTTCGTTCTTTGATATCTACACTGAGCGGCAGTACAATGGGCAGCCCTTCGGATTCTGTGTACCACGCACTCACCGTGTGCTTACGTAGAGCGCAGGGGTGGGACTTGGAAACCATAGCAACCCCCTCCGCAGCCTTTCCACCGTGAAGCACCATAGCAACCAGCTGCGGCCTTCCGGGCGCCGAGGCAGCTTCGGCCGCGTTCCAATCTGCGGACTTGTGTTCTGTATCTCTTAGACAGGGCGTATTAGTCATGTTCCTTCTTTACCCTAGTTTTATGACTTGGTTAGCGAGCTAATGGCAAACGGTCTATCGTTAGCCGTGTCAGGGTTGTGCAGTTAGGTGAAAGGAAAACAGTGCCTTTCTAAGCACATTCTGACTGCAGTGACTTTAAATGTGCTCGTGTACTGCTGCATTTAGCTACACTAGCCAGTGTACTTACTATAGTGTACTATAGGCTAGAGCTAGTGTTCTTCCTAGAGTGTACCCTACCGAAAAAACGTTGATGTTGGTTCCTGGAGGTGTGTTTTTCTGATAGGCTGATAAAACGGTATAAAAAATTCTAATGGTTTTAAAAGTGTTCTCCCATTTCGAAATCGTCTGGGTCGTCTGAGCTGTTATAATTCAGAGCATATAGGAGAGAGGCAGCCAGGGGCTTCACCTGCCTGCGTTTGGAGGTCCGATCCACTAGAGGTGGGAGCAGAATTTATCAAAGGAGGACAACAAAGTTATCGCAAGATCATTGCAAACACATCACAATCACTATCATTTTCATCACTGTAGTTTCAAGTAGCCAGACCTCCAATTTTCAGTGCATGACAGCATACTGCACTTCATTTTATGCCAATATACTGTTCAAATCTGCACCGGATTGTCGCGACTCAAAGCACAGACCTGAGAGCATTTATCAGTCCACACTTATGTGTTTTAATGCATTAAATAAAGTATTGACTATCAGATCTGTATAAACATGTGTTGCCACTAGAAAATGATCAAATAAAGTGTATGTAGACAACATTTGAGCAAGTTAGCTGTTTGAACGAGAGCATATGAGCTAACCAAAAAGGCACCAAAAAGGGTTCTTCTATTGTTACGATGTCAAGATTGTAGCAATAGCAGAACACTTTTTGGAGCTATATAGAACACTTTTCAAAAAGGTTCTATATAAAGCCATTTAATTGGGGCAGTCATGGGCTGGAGGTTAGGGAACCAGCCTTGTGACCGGAAGGTCACCGGCTCGATTCTCTCAGCTGACAATACATGACTGAGGTGCCCGTGAGCAAGACACCTAACCCCCCAACTGCTCCCTGAGTGCTGTGAACAGGGCTGCCCACCGACCCTGGGCAAGCGTGCTCACTGCCACTAGTGTGTGTGTTCACTAGTGTGCATGTATGTGGGTGTTTCACTGCACGGATGGGTTAAATGCGGAGGTCTGATTCCTCTGTGTGCAAACACAGTAGGCTAATGGTTCTGAATTTAATAATGCAAAGTGTTCATGTAGGAGTTCTATATAGAACCATATTCTTTACTAAAGAACCCTTGAACCTTCTTTTTGTATGGAGCTTACGGAAACCATGCTAGCTGTCCACAGCTGTCCTATTCACTACCCAGCTTGATTTCAGCTCTAACTAGTTTGGTTCATAAAGTTCATGGTTCATGAAGTATATAACTGTATTGTTGCATTGAAGGTAATTACAAATAATGGCACGTTGCACAACTTAAACCAGTGGTCTCTAATCCTGGTCCTGGAAAGCTGCCTTCCCGCAGAGTTTAGTTCCAACTTGTATTCAATAAGCTGCCACACTCCTTGCTTCACTCTAACACATCTGATCCAGCCAATCAGGGACTTGGAAAGAGGTTGATTAGCTGGAGCTGGTCAGGCAAATTGTCGTTGGAACTAGGTAGCTCTCTAGGACCAGGGTTGGACCACTGATTTGAACACAAACAAACAAAAAAAACAACAGAAAGGTTTTAAATGTATTTTATTGTGTTTTACTAAACTTAATAAATGTTAATGTTAGGTTAATCAGGCAACACTTTGGCCTGATTTGTTACATTAAATGTGGTACACACATAAAAAGTACTAGAGTGGGGTGCACTGTTGTTTTGATACTCTATAAATTCCCCACTAATGCCTTATAAAATGACTGAGTCTAGATGGCCCGAGGCTTGCTTCAGTGGATGCTGCGTTTCTGTTTGGTTTGATTTTTGCTTTTATTTATGCGCTCACTCTCAGTGTTGACATTCAGAGTATAACACCATGACTACCGGCCTCCCTTGTGTGCTGCTCAAAAGCTCCCGACTACAGAAGATTCAGAGTCAACAGGGTCATGTAGATTGTCTTATCTCTCACTTTTTCCACATTTGCCCTCTCTCTTGCCTACAACTGCCAAAATGTGTTGGAGTGAAAAGCTCATTCCAGTCTTGTTGTGCAGACTATAAATGTTAACTATTGATTGTCATTATTCAGTTTTTTTAGAGAAGGTCTATTTTCCCTTCAGGCTTAGCTGAGTTACCAAGTTTAAAGACAGTATTAAACCAAGTTTTAGGTAGTTACCTTGCTCTCATTTACATACCGTGGCATTTTCAACAGATTGTTTTATAAAGGCTTACTGGAAAAATTCCTGATAATTCATTCGAAGGCAGCAATGTTTGTTGTGAAATGAAGTGTAAACTAAAGGTTGAACATGCCAGAAAATATGCATGTGGAACACCAAATAACAAGAATAGCATCAGTGTGATTGGGGGAAATTACTGTTTTTGGCTTGTTTTCAGAGCAAGGTTTGTTTCTATTGTCCTCCTTTGACTTTGCCAGTTTAGCAAAACAGGAGACGATTAAAATAAATGAGCCTAGATTGATCCTGATACACGGCAGGGGAAGACCGATGGGGGAGGCAAGTGAAAGGGATGATTACGACTGTCCTTGCCCGATGACAAATGGCACTGCATTGTGCTCGAAAGAAACCGTTTTTTATCTCTTGGCATCAAAACACTTCTGGGATATCATCATAGCCATCAACGTCATCATCACTGTCACCTCTCTTTTATTGCCTGAATTTCCTGTTCTACATGATGTTCATGGGGCCGAAATATGAAATAAGTGTGGCTTCACATTAACCAAGGTCAATGTGGTACATGCAGTATAGCAGATTTTTTCAAGTGTCATTTTTCTTTTTATTTATTTATTAATTTTGGTCTTTTGCACAATATTTATTAGTTTGATGAAAATGATTGTACATTCTCCTTTTTCTGAGCTCCAGTTATAAGCCCTGTTTTGGCTCTTCAATTCTTGAGGAGCAGCTGCACACACACAGCTGTAAAAATTTTAGTGAGGTCCATTTTGCAGAAATGTGACTTACATCTCATAGTGAATAAAATAACTGCTGAATATGAGTTTTACACCAACCATAAGTTTCTACTTTAGTTTTTAAGTTTTTTTATCGTTGCTCCTTTTTTACCCAACCATAACTATTATGCACCTTCTATATATCTATATATATCTATATATATATATATATATATATATATATATATATATATATATATATGTGTGTGTGTGTGTGTGTGTATTGCTGCTGTCGGAACAAAACCTTGTACCTCCATTTTTATAGTTATTTAGTCTTTCAGTTTCGGACATAATTTGAAAATATGTGTTACTCTGTGCGTTCATTTCAGAAACAACCCAAAATGACTTCACACAGACTCTTAAATACTGTTTATACATCTCCCTAAAAATTGGTAATAGGGTTGCAGAAAATGCTTTATATTTCAGAAAAAAATTGCTCATATAGTATCTGATTTGAGAGCCTGAGGTGGAAAAAACATTTTCTGAAATTAAGCACTTACTTTGATTAATACTTTGTCTAAAACACCAAAGGAAAAAGCAAATATTTTCAAGAGTTTTGAGGCCTATAAATAAAAAAAATAAAGTCTTTTCACAGAAAGTGCCAGTTACTCTACAGCACACATCAGTACTCACCTGCTGTTAATAGCGGCATGCCAATTGCCAGTAATCCAGGTCACAGCAGGTAGTTGCCCAGCAGGGAGTGAATAAAAAAGAAAGGGGATAACAATCTAATCTGCTACAGGCACCTAACTTATTTTTAAAGTTTGGGGGGCTTTGATCATATTGAGATGGAGGTCTGGGAGACTCAAACAGAAAAAAAAAGTTCATACAGTTCAGTATCATTTCTAAAACATAACTAAAGCATCTTGTTTATGTGAGTGGAATGAGTGGTTTTCATCATCCTGGCAAGTCAGGAAAAAACTTATAATAGGCTACTCCAGTGGTTCTATGGAATCCCTTCCCATGTTGTAGTGTTTTTCTTGCTCTAACACACCCGATTCAACTCATGAGCTGAATAGAAGCCTTTCCTTAGTTGGACTAGGCTTATTTAAGCAAGGAACAATGCTAAACTTTGGTACTCTAGGACCAGGTTTAAGGACCACTGTAGTAAACTAATGGGGTTTAGCCATTTTTAGGGATCTCTCAATGTAGAAATGACCTTAGTTAGATGGAATGGTCATTTCTTTATTACATCCCACGCTGTCCTTCAAAATGCAACAACCACTTCAACTTTCATATATAAATGCCCTCTCTGAGCCCTTAGTGCAGCCTTCTGCAAGGACCACATTAATGCAGACTCAGCAGCAGCCACTTACCGAATATTCTTCGAAGTACAGTGAGTGAATGGTTTTGTTTACAGCTCTCTGACCAACATGACGGAGAAAAAGATTTATATGTGAGTTAAAATGCATTTGTTTATTATTTTAACATGCCATCGAGCTGCATTATGCTTCTGCATTGAGGCACTGTAGATACATAATTAAGCTCATTTAAAAAAAAAAAACAAATATGATTGTTAGGACAATCTCTCTGTGCAGCACAAGCAGAGCACGAGGCCCAGCTGCACACACCATCGAGGTCTCTAGCCGTTTGTGTCCACATGTTGATGGCACCGCTTATGTGTGGTCACTTACATGCGGTCCTGGAGGAGGGCCACAGGGCCATGCAGGACAGATGCTGTCATCAACATATCATAACATAAAATTGAACAAA